AGAGATGTCTCATAAAGTAAGTGCTCCTGGGATTGTAGTGTGTCCAGTAAGCAGCAAGGCCAGTCACCAGATTCTCACAAGGGCAGTAGTAAGACTGTTAATGCTTTACAGTGCATAGCTCTTTATATGAAGTCCTGCACATAATTGCTTGGCCATCACAAGCCCCTTCACAACGGGGCTGGAATACATCCAGTTAATTGCCAGTGGACTTTGATGCTCTTTTTTGCATTTTCTCTAGGACACTATTGTCCAGGAACTGAAAAAATGTCCTTGTACCTCAGTACAAAAATGTGTTTAACTGGAGCAGCCTATTTTGGAGGAATGCAGCAAGGGACCTCAGCATCCTCCAGATATTTCTGCTTTATAATCCTCTTCCCATATCTATGATTCCAGATCAGACTCCCCCAGTCCAATCCACCCACTCCACTCTCCGGTGCCAGCTAAAAAAAACCCATACCAAAACTCCCTCCGCTCCTCTCCCCCACTCACATTTTGAAGACAGAGCCAGGGCTGGGATGGGGGACTGGCAGGGAGAGTGCCAGATTTGCAGGCACTCCAAACTGCAGCTGAATTCCTCAACCTCCAGGACCCAACAGCAAACGTCTGTTGGGTCTGGGGGACCGCTGTAACTCACAGTGCTTCCTGCAAAGCACTATGAGTTACAGTGGGGAGCTGCACTTCTGTCTGTACCTTTAGATGCCTTAGGATGATTCTCTTTCACACCCCCAAAATAAGAATCAAAAGTGCTGCTGAAAAAGAACAGTTGATGATTTAATTACATGTAATTAAGAGCTTTCATCGAAGGTTGTTTTTCTTTTCTTTAATAATTCCAGGTTCTTGAGTCACAATAAAATCACTCAGCTGAGGCCTAGGGTCTTCAGGGACCTGCATCACCTTGAATGGCTGTAAGTTTCTCTTTCTCTTGGATAATTCAAAAGAGGACAATGAGGAATAATGAGACAAGGTAGACCAAGCCCTAGCATGATGTGGTATAGAAACAGCTGCGCTTTACCAATTTGCAGGTACTGTGTGTGCATATGTAGGCACATGGTGGGAGCTGAGATTCATTGCAGTGTGACATCAGTGATGGAGTTCACAGCCCAGAGTTTGCAAGATCGAGGCCATAGCAGAAGCACTCACAGCACAGCCTTGTCAGTGTCTAATGAATCGGCGAATTCTGCAAAATACCTTGTTACAAGGATATGAAGAAGGAAGGAAATGGTGTGTGACACCTCAACTTTTATTTCTTCCTCCCTTTTGGGTGAGCAGAATGGCCCTAAGCCTTCTTACACCCCCAATATGAAAAAAAAGAGAAACCATCACACATTGCCTGTGCCTGTCACACTGCATCAGGTCTGTGGGGCTCTGAGAAATGTTAGGTCAGACTGAGGCAGCTCTTGGCTCAGTAGGTGTGAGCACAGGGACCAGAGGAGGGCTTACAACTGGGAACCTTTCTTCAGGGGCATAACAGGTTTGTTTTTTCTCAGTCCAGTCATTCATGGAGGCTTGCCTACAAAATTCACCATGGAGCCATACATGAGAAAGTAGGCAGGGTGGGGAGAAGCTTGTCAGCTTATAGTTACAGGTCTTGGGGCGAACTCTTTGTGAGCGCCCCCTGCTCTCCAGTCCTATGGCTGCAAATCAGGACTGAGAGGCATCACCAGAGCTAAGGGAGGGGAGGCTTGGAGCAGCATTGAGCCCTGAGGTACCCAGCACCAGTTTAGCTCCATCCTCCATCTAAATTTTAAACCAAAATTTTAAAAAATCAAAAAAAAGCCATTCTCTGCAGCTGGCCCTCACTGCTTCTGGCTGAGCTGAGCCGAGCCTGCCTGATGAGAGTGTGGCATACGGAGCTCATAAAAGGATTGCTAGAGAGGAGAAATGTTTAACGTCTGCTTTGCAAGATGGCTTCCTGGTTAAGCTTAAAAGAGCAATTCTTGTTAGTGCAGCCAAGAAAGAGACCTTGCCAGGCCTTCAGATTCTCTTCCTCCTAATTTGCCACTTCCTCCTTAAATAGCTTGGAAAAAAGACTGAAAGGCAGCTCAGACAGGGTGGTCCATGTTGCAAACCAGCCTCAGAGTCTTTGGAGACAGCCAGACATAGCCCCAAATCTCAAATTCCCCAAGTGGACTTTTAATTTATCACCTCATTTTGTAGCAAAAGGGAAGAAAAAAACAATACAGCAGCCCCTCGACCGAGAGAGAATCCAGACTGTGAGCTCAAAGCCAGCATTTCCGCCAAAAGCCTGCAGGCTTCAAAATTTGAATTTCAAAATTCAAAATTTGAACGGGTGGCCTGTAAGTTTGTCTTCCCGGAAATGGAGTGGGGGAGAAGGTAGATGGAAAGAGACAGGCAGTGAGAAAGAGGAGGAAGCTCGGCATTTGGGGATTTCTGCCAGAGGTCAGGAAGGAAAAAATCCCACCTCTTCTGTGGATGGAATTTAGAAGTAAATGCTTTATGACTATGAAAAGGTCTCTCCCATACACCAGCAACCTTGTTCCTGTGAAATTACCTCTCCATCTAAAGTGTGATTCTTTCAGCGTAACTGTCTTCCCCTTTCCTTGTTTCAGAATGCTGGATAATAACCACATTGCCAAGATTGTCCCAGCTGCTTTTGTGGGGTTAAAGTCCCTGTACTTCCTGTAAGTGTGCAACAGGTTCTCTGGCAATGATAGACTCCCAGCTCTTCAGTGTCCCATGTTGTATCCTCAAAGGAGAAGGCTGCATGGCGTTACAGAAACAAAATTTTCTTTGCTTTAAATTTGTATACAATGTCCAATGCCTTTCATCTTCTAAGATTGTCTTTTGTGACCTCTTTAATGGTTGCAAGCCATCAGTTGAGAAGAGCTGCTCTAGATCTGAGCTCTCAACCTTTGTTGGCCACTGGGTGATCAAGCTGAGAATGTGGCTCACTGAGGGCAACATTATACTTTGCTCTCCCTAATGACTTCAGCTTTGACTTTTCAACTCTCTGTGGCTATCAGCAACATTGGAGGATGTCTCAGAATATGTTGCCTACAAGCTGTGTGTTCAGACTACTGCATAGACCTGGAGTAGTCAAAGAATCTGGCCTATACTGCAGTGTAATTTATCCTGCGGGGCTCCAGGAGGGGCTGGGAATTTGAGGACAGGGCAGGATGCTGATGGGCTGAGTAGAGTAGGGAGCCCCACTGGGGACAGTTTGTTTTGGCAGCAGTGCAAGCGACAGCTGTATTAATCCTAGTAGCTTACCCTACTACCTGAGGTGGGTTTGGATCTGGCCCTCAGGATCTGGCCTGGGGAGGGGGTGAGTAAATTTGAAACCCCTGCTCTAAAACATCTTTTCCTTAGTGTACTGGATTTAAGCCCAATTCTTACCATTTATATTTAGTCCTAATACACACAGATTTATGCTGGGAGTTTGACCTGAAAAGAAACTTAGCATTTGGCTTATAATTATAACCCAACTCTTATATAATTCTTATATAATTATATAAGAGATGGTAGTACTGCCTATGTTTAAGGTTGCCTAACACTTTCCACTTAGAAGTAATTGAAAGCAAACTCTTCTGTTTTGCCAGACTATAAACATTTGGGTTGAAACTTTCCATGCCAGGTGCACGCCTCCAGATGAGCTTTCCTTTAGGAAGTTTTGGCATAAATATTTGGCCAGTTCAAAGAATGGGGTTAGAGAACGGTATTCTGTTTCAACCGTGTTTGAAAAAAAAAAAGTATAGTCAATTCACTGAGAAGCTTTGACACAGCCATGCTTTGGAGTAAGGACTGGAACTTCAGCAGAGTCCGGCCCTGGTGTTAGGACAGTGATTGTTTGCTGTTCCCATAAAAAGCCACCCACACTTGGCCAAGTGTTAATCTGT